GGCAAAAATTCAGAAGGTTGAGTCCTGATAAACTCTCCTTCGAATTGAGTCCAATGACACAAATTTCTTTTTAAAATATGGTTACTATGGATTAAACATGAATTTGTTATTTTGATCAAGAACAAAAAACAATGTCCTCCATGAGGACAAATAAGGCAAAGATAACAGCTCGCGCTCGTATGACCTTATGCAGCTGCGAGCGCCGTAAAACTTCTTCTAAAACTAAAAAACTAACAGTGTCAAGTGGAAAGGTCATGCTGTCGTGTTTCTAGGATTGTGAAGGTAACATCATGACTGACTACCTGGAAAATGGAAGAAAAAAAAAAAAAAAAAAAACAGTCACAGGAGACCACTACTCGGTTTTGCTGATAAAATTGATGTCCGATTGGTGAGAAAAAGTCGTGGAAAACTCCGTAATGGGGTCCTCCTACTGCATGACAACGCCAGGCCCTGCCCTGCGCACAGGGCACAACAAGCTGTCGAGAGAGCAGAACAGTGTGGCTTTGAGAACCTGCCACACCCAGCTTATTCAACAGACCTAGCCCCCTCAGACTTTTTTTCTTCTGTTTCCTAATCTTTCAAAAAATCACTCCAAGGACGTCGTATCCATGGCAACGAGGACACCATTGAAGCTGTTGAAGGCTGGTTAGGGGCCTTTTTGAGTCATTTTTCTTTCAAGGACTTTTGAAGGCCTTGAGAGGTGACAGAAATGTATTACTGTGCACGGTGACTATGTAGAAAAATAAAAATATGCATGTCAAGTTACAAAGCTCTATCATTATTCCATCACATATAAAAGACTTCTTGACCCCCCCCCCCCCCCCGACCCCCCGTATTTCCACTATAATGTTTTACTGGTGGGTACCTTATTGACATCGAATTAGCAAACACAACACAGATAATTGGCCGCAAATTTATCTTAAACGTTCATAACATTTTCTAAAATTGCTGTCGACTGGAGATGGTGTTTGGCTACACAACACCTCATCTACCATGGACCCCTGCTATAGCTTCTGCACATGCAGTTTGGCATCGCGTTTCCGCAAATTAGACATATTATGCTGGTCTTATTGGTGGGCAGTTACGCCCGGTTGCCATTTTCATTTTCTCTCAACATTATCGCCTGAGTGGTTCCTTTCCGTTCAACCAGCCTTGAAGGTGTGCTAGAGCTGCAGCTGATGCTTCTTATAGCAGCTCCAAGTCACATCCTGATTCCAGTAGGCCGATACGAGCGCCCTTGTTTGCAGCCATCGATGCTATATGTAGGCACCCTATTAATTTGAGCAATGCATAGCAAAAGCTTTGAGTAGCATTATGTTTTTTTATGCTAACAAGAAATTATCGAGTCCACTTGACCCAATTTTTTTCGGAATTTTGCTCCCCCACACGGTTTCACCACGAAATTTAAGGCACTATTATATAACAGGCCTATTTGCATTGTTTGGAGATTTATATCTGGCCCATTTAAAACTTAAAAAATCACAAACCCCCTGTGATTACACTTTAGCGATAGTCAAATCACATTTTAAAAGTTACATAAAAAGACTTCGCAGAATCGTGATTGAAAAATGTTGCTGTAGATCTACACGGAATGGCCTTTTATTCCTCTTCGGAATGGCTGGCGCGCCCTTCAAGTTTGACGCTCGTACTCGTGGAAATCATTTCTCGTGGCGTCACAGCTGAGAGCTCTAATTCTGTTTATAAACTCTTTGGCTGACTTTAGTGGGGGTTATCTGGCCCACAGAATTCTACACTTAGTGTAGAATTCTGTGATCTGGCCTTGATTTTTTTAGAGTGTGAGATAGAGCTGGGCCGATGCCATGATTTTGGTATCGAGTTGATACCGAGCAATTTTGCTCATCTTTGTCAAAGATAGTGAATAACAAGATGGGCCACTCAGCCAAAAAAGTGTCCGCAGGAAGTATGCTCTTTGCTTCAGATGGCGCTGCAGTCTGTTTTGAAGCTCTCTTTCGTTTTTCCAGAAGAAGAATAGGAATAGCACCTCCTTGCGTGCGCAGATCGACTGCTGTTCGTTCATCAGCAGTTCGGGTACGTTCAGTGCGGAGTTTTATTTATTTTTATTTTAATGACCTCTCGCCTTTCATTCTAAAGTCAAATTAAACGAAGAAAACCATCACCCTTTCCTCCGGAAGAGGTTTTTTGTCAGCGTAACCATTTAAAAAAAGCGTTCTTCCGAAATTTATCCCAAAACTTGCTAGTTTCACTTTGATTTTTTAAAACTCAAGTAGGGTAACTCTGTTCGCATAGAGTGCGCCAAATTTTGAGGACACTTTTTTAATTGGCTCAAAGAGAGAAGTGGCCCATCTTGTTATGTACTATCATTGTCTTTGTTTTGCTTAGGTATCGAGTCGATTCTGAGTACTCGTAAAGAACTTGAATAAAAATGTAAAAAAAGAACAATGCATGCATCCTGGCTTTAGTTTGTCATACACTCATACCAGTCATAGTATAATATGGCAACACTGTAACACAAGTGTCACTCAACGTAAATTATGTTTAATTCAACAAAGATCAAATGAAAATGGATGAGACGACTGACTAGAAAAAAGGCACAAACCAAAAATGCAACAATTAGAAAAACAGCATCAACTAAGAACTTTGGATAAAAAAAATAAAAATAAGCTTTACTTTTTACTTTTACTTTTTTCCTTCCGCTTGTACCATGGGGTGTCGCGGGGAGACACAGGCGTCTGTCTGCAGCAAGTCGTGTGGCCTGTAGGAGAGACATCTCTAAGGGTGTCTGCCACAGATTCACTCCATTGTCGCCTTGGTCTTCCTCTGGCTCTCCATCCAGAATATTTAGTGTTGTATGCTCTCAGAGCTGGATGGTTTGAGGGCATCCGCGTGAGGTGTCCAAACCACTTGACCTTTTGTTTTTCAATGTGTGGTAGGACTGGTGTTGCTCCCACGGTGTCTCTTATGACTTCATTTTTAATTTGGTCTCTTCTTGTTTTGTTGACCGCTTTTCTTAAGCATTTCATCTCGCATGTGACCAGTTTCCTCTCTAGGGCTTTTGTTAGAGTCCATGTCTGGCACTGATATGTGAGCGTTGGAGGGAAAATGGTGTTGATGAGCTTCGCCTTGGTGCTCATGGGGATACTGGGATGTTTCAGGAGAGGGCCGAGTCATGGTAGCTGACTGCGTTGGCTCTCTGGCATCTAGTCTCTCTTTCTCGATCTAATTTCCCATTTTCTGTGAAAATGCTGCCCAAGTATTTGAATTCTCTGCTTTGCTTTAGTTGGGATCCATTGATGTTGATATCCACTTCCCCTGGTCTCCTGCTAATTGTCATGACTTCGGTCTTGCTAATATTGATCTTCATGTCATATTTTTCGCAAAATAAGCATCCCTCAAATATCAGAATGACTCGATCCTTTTGAAAAAGAATCGAGTCCATTCTGATACCAAAGATAGTACATAACAAGATGGGCCACTTCTCTCTTTGAGCCAATTAAAAAAAGTGTCCTCAAAATTTGGTGGCGCCCTCTTCACAAAAGCGCACTCTTTGCGAACAGAGTTACCCTACTTGAGTTTTAAAAAATCAAAGTGAAACTAGCAAGTTTTGGGATAAATTTCGGAAGAACGCTTTTTTAAAATGGTTACCCTGACAAAAAACCTCTTCCGGAGGAAAGGGTGATAGTTTTCTTCGTGTAATTTGACTTTAGAATGAAAGGCGAGAGGTCATTAAAATTAAAAAAACCCCTAAAACTCCGCACTGAACGTACCCGAACTGCTGATGAACAGCAGTCGATCCGCGCACGCAAGGAGGTGCTATTCCTATTCTTTTTCTGGAAAAACGAAAGAGAGCTTCAAAACAGACTTGCAGCGCCATCTGAAGCAAAGAGCATACTTCCTGCGGACACTTTTTTGGCTGAGTGGCCCATCTTGTTATTTACTACGAATCATTGCTGATACCAATGATAGTACAAGACAAGATGGGTCACTTCTCTCTTTGAGCCAATTAAAAAAGTGTCCTCAAAATTTGGTGGCGCCCTCTTCACAAAAGCGCACTCTTTGCGAATAGAGTTACCCTACTTGAGTTTTAAAAAATCAAAGTGAAACTAGCAAGTTTTGGGATAAATTTCGGAAGAACGCTTTTTAAAAATGGTTACGCTGACAAAAACCTCTTCCGGAGGAAAAGGAGATGGTTTTCTTCGTTTAATTTGACTTTAGAATGAAGGGCGAGAGGACATTAAAATAAAAAAAACCTAAAACTCCGCACTGAACGTACCCGAACTGCTGATGAACAGCAGTCGATCCGCGCACGCAAGGAGGTGCTATTCCTATTCTTTTTCTGGAAAAACGAAAGAGAGCTTCAAAACAGACTTGCAGCGCCATCTGAAGCAAAGAGCATACTTCCTGCGGACACTTTTTTGGCTGAGTGGCCCATCTTGTTATTTACTACGAATCATTGCTGATACCAATGATAGTACAAGACAAGATGGGTCACTTCTCTCTTTGAGCCAATTAAAAAAGTGTCCTCAAAATTTGGTGGCGCCCTCTTCACAAAAGCGCACTCTTTGCGAATAGAGTTACCCTACTTGAGTTTTAAAAAATCAAAGTGAAACTAGCAAGTTTTGGGATAAATTTCGGAAGAACGCTTTTTAAAAATGGTTACGCTGACAAAAACCTCTTCCGGAGGAAAAGGAGATGGTTTTCTTCGTTTAATTTGACTTTAGAATGAAGGGCGAGAGGACATTAAAATAAAAAAAACCTAAAACTCCGCACTGAACGTACCCGAACTGCTGATGAACAGCAGTCGATCTGCGCACGCAAGGAGGTGCTATTCCTATTCTTCTTCTGGAAAAACGAAAGAGAGCTTCAAAACAGACTGCAGCGCCATCTGAAGCAAAGAGCATACTTCCTGCGGACACTTTTTAGGCTGAGTGGCCCATCTTGTCTTGTACTATCTTTGCTGATACCTAAAAGTACTCGCGTCTCGAGTACTCGGACTCGACATCGGCCCAGCTCAAGTGAGATGCGAGGGGCTTAGAGAGAGATCTAGCTAGCTTGGCCGTATTGTACACTGTACACACACTGCGACTTTGCGAGGCAATATGTTTGGCTGTTGGATTCACCCGTGTGTGAAATAATTAGTGTGGATATTATGATAGGCCTAGATCTAGATCTAGATGGTGTATTATTTGTGTAGATCTAGAATCTAGTCTTTCAAGGATCCTGTCGTGAAAGAGTAAGTAATTAGTCTAGCCTTGTTCAATGATTTCGTGCAAGTTCAAGAGAGCCATTGAACATTACATAATCGCACGCGTTACATAATATCTAAACATTGTATTTTTTTGAGTGGATTCCGCAGACTGTCAGTGGCGTCAGAGTCCGTGTGATTGAATTGGTGATCTAGATTATAGAATCTAGATCTAGATTCTAGATCTAGAACTAGAATCTCTAGATATAGATCTAGATCTAGATATAGAATAATAGAATATAGATCTAGAACTAGAATCTAGATCTAGATCTATATCTATATCTAGATCTAGATCTATTCTAGATCTCTAGATGATATTTAAATCCGGGGTGAGAATAGAGGTGGCCTTTTAGAAAGGCTGATGTTAGGGGACCATACGCCCCACCAATAGCGCTTGGCGCTAGGGGACAGTACGCCCCCATAGTGTTTGGCGCTAGGGGACCGTACGCCCTACTTGCGCTTTATCTAAGGCCTAAGGCTTGGTGTTAGGGGACCGTACGCAGGCATGCATCTGGACTTTGCAATAATACTGGAGGAAAACGGCCAGTTTAACGAAGCTCCTGACATTAGGAGTTATTACAAGGCTAACGAAAATGTTTAAAATCTCTGAATACGATTGTGAGGTATCCAGTGGCCATGGGTGAACCAAAATTTGAAATTTGCTCATGTCTGCACCCAAGTTGTTGTTGTACGTCGATAAAAGAAATCAAAGAGAGGGAGGGAGAGAAACAAAGAGAGAGAGAGAGGGAAAGAGAGAGAGAGAGATGGGGGGGGGGAGAGAGAGTAAAGAGAGAGAGAGTGTGTGTGTGTGTGAGTGTGTGAAAAACTGACAGAAAGGAAGTGAGAAAGAAAGTAAAAAAGTAAGGAGTGGGAGAGAAAGAGGGAGAAAAAGTGTGAATATGTGTGTGTACAGTGTGTTAGAGAGAGAGAGAAAGAGAGATAGGGCGGAG